ATAATATATATATATATATATATATATATATATATATATATGTATATAAAGTAATCTATTACTAATGTAACTGAGCTAAATTATTTTATTACCTTATATCCTAATAAATCGCCATTTTGCATATTAGCTTGAGGAGGTTTCCAATACAAATGAACCTCGGTAGAAGAAATGGGCTCGGCTTTTAGATGCTGGGGTTCCCCCGTAGGAACTGCCTCTCCCACGTACACAGTGACTGGTGGACTCGGTGGGCCCTCACCTTCTGAATTAAATGGTAGCACTACAATCTCATAATATCGATCTTCTGTTAAGTCGCTTAAGACCATTTTGGTTTGCTGCAAGAAGAATGAATTGTGTTAGCTATACTAAATTTATAAAATACTGCATGCAATTAATCTCAATATATTAAATTATAAAATTTAAATTGACACATAAAGAAGGGATATTTATACGCACTTTAATTCCTAGAATTTCTTCTTTCGGCGTCGCCTGAAGAGGCGTTGGGAAATCCGATACCGGCTGATAAACAACACGATAGCCACCAGTTTCGTAATCGCCACTCCAATGTACCTCGTCGATCATGTTCCAATGAACCTCAACACTGGATGTTGTTATCGGAACAACTTTCAGACCGGTGACACCCTTTGATGGCGCTATAAAAATGTAATATTTTTGCTAATGTTAATTTCAATTTTCAATTTCTGATTTTCTTAATTTTTCTAAATATTTCCTTTTTAATATTTCATTGAGAGTTTCATATTATTTTATCTTTGATATATACCTGCAGGCAGAGTTTGTACTTGAGCAGACTCACTGCTCCACTCTGATGGACCTATGTCGTTAGTAGCCTGAATGCGAAATTGATAGTGTGTGTAGGGCTTTAAATTGTTAGCCGTGTAAGACGTCAGAGTGGGTTCCACTCTTTCGGGAATAATTTGGAATGGTCCAGAATTTTCTGATTGTTGCACTGTGTAATATCTATCGAAGCAAAAAGAGGGATTAATATTAATTTAATAGAAATCCAGTTTAATAGAAGTCCCAATAAGTAAGAAAAATGTTTCTACCTTAATGGTGCAAAACCATCTCTGCCTGGTGTCCAGCTAAATGTTATCTGACGACTCTGAATCTGTGACTTGCTCACTTGCGGTACCGATGGTGCTTGAGGACGTTCTCTATTGTTCGTGGTAAATACAAGCGCGTAAGCTGTTTTACCCCAACCCAATTTCGTTTGTGCCGTTACAGAGAACATATAATACTTTTCGGACTTGAGTTCGGTGGCTCTGCAATTGGCAAAATTATAACGATATTTATTCAAAAACTTATTTATTTGTTATATATAATCCTAATACATCTCAATCTAGAACGGAGGTCTATTATTTAAATGTTGAGAGAGTTTATAAAATTTCAGCGAGATGGATAAATATAGGAAAAAATCTTTGTACCTGAACGTTCTATCTGACGCTGGAAATTCTCTAGAAAAAGGAGAATCTTGGCTGTTGTTTAAGTTAAACATAACTTTGTACGCAAGAATCTCCCCGTTAGGATCCTCTGGTGTGTCCCAGATAATACGCGCTGTGGTTAAACTCACGTCAGGGAAAGATACATTAGATGGTGGACCAGGAGCTGTGAAACAAAATAGAATTTTATAATGATATCATGGAATCTTATTTTTTTTAGCTTTGCATTGTATGTTTTATATACATTTCACATCACATGTATATAAAACAATAAATTTAATAAATAACATATAACAATTATATTATAATTATTAAAGTATAATCTATAACTCGACTGTTGTCGTTAGAAAAGGTTCAATTGCAACTAAATACACTTACTGTCTTCGAAGGTCTGAACTCTCACAGATGGAATGCTTAGCGCTCCATCACCAAGTCTTGTGTAGGCTAAAACCTGCACATGATACTGGACGAACTTGCGAAGTTCTGTTAAAGTGGTTGTAAAAGTGGTATTGCTGGGAATATTCTTATACTGAAAAGTTGATCTGGAATTCGCGCCATAATATACTTTAAAGCCTTCGATCTGTCCATTTTGATGTTCCACAGGTACGTCACCCCATCGCACCAGAATAGTCGTAGAGGAAGTTGCGTTTGCTTCTACGTTTATCGGTCCCAGGGAAGGAACTAAAAGATATTACATTATATATCTTTGTAAAGTTTACAAAATTTAAAATTTAAAAATGATCTTATATCATCTGTTTCGCAAACGTTTGAGTTTCAACAATATAAAATAATTAAATTAATATCAAATCAATTTTTAGAAATATACATACTCTGATATCTTTCAAAAATCTGAAATAATTATATTCGAAAAATTGCTTCTTAGAGGTTCCTTTTTGATTAATTATGTTCAATTATGTTTGAAAAATTCACCTGATTCACGAGTTCGTTCAATAGCCTTTGGACTCGCCGCTGAAGAGCCAACATCGTTGAATGCTTGCATCACTATTTCGTAATCAGCAAACTCCTCCATACTTTCCAAAATATACGAATTTGCAGTGTGATCCTCGATAATACTACTCTTCGATATGTTCGATCGTACTTCCGTATAAGTAACATTATATCCTCGTGGATTTCCATACCATTCTATTTGCTGCAATGGCTACGCAGAAAACAGTATAATTCTTATATTACATATGTAATTTATTTAGTATAATCTGTGTATATTATACTCTACAATATTTTTAATCGATATTCTTAATAGTGATGATTAATAAAAAAATTATATTTTTTACATAACGACGATCCAACAACGATACTTACGATCCACCTAACGCGTAATTCGGTAGCACTCATCGCGCGAACTGTGACGTTTTTCGGAGGATGCGAGGGTGGTGCCTGAATCGTCTGAAACTCTTTGGTCGGCTCAGAGGGGTCTGAGGCACCGACGACGTTATTTGCGATCAAACGAAGCTTGTATTGCATGAAAGGAGTCAAACCGTCAACGGTAATCGTACTGGCGTCGGGATCGGATACTTCGTATATAGTGTACCACGTCGAGTTTCGCGCCGTTTGTGCCTAAGAAATTGATAGTAATACACATATTACTTCTTCTGATTTATTTTCTATCTTCTATCCGTCACATCGAATCTCGTATGTCTTGAAAATAAATTTTACAAAATACTTTTAATACTAACGTAATACTTTTCGGATATCGAGCTTTGAAAGAAAGAGAGCAAACAGATATATTTAAATTTTGTTTCAACAGAATTTTCATTAGTTTAAAAATTGTATTATGTATAAAAATATGCAATAAATAAATCTCTGATTTTTTTCAAAAAAAGCATTGATATAGATTAATTAACCTGTACTGTCCACTTCGTGATAGACGAATTTCCATCAAATCCTGGCGTGAACTGCAACACAATGGAGAATGCGTCTATGTTGGATAACGCTAACTTCGTGGGTGGTTCTGGTAGCACCGGTTCGACGCCTGATTGTATGGTCGCTATTTTTGATTTGCCAGATCCAACCGATGTCCAAGCAGTCACTTCAAACTTGTAGTGAGTCAGTGCCTAAGAAAAAACAAAAATGAGCAATAGTCATATTTAATCCTTTAAGTTCTTTTTTATAACTTCTAATTTTTAGACTTTTCATTATATTTCTTTTATATATAATTTTGTGCTATTTGAAATCGATGATTACCTGAAGATGTTCTACTTTAATCGATAACACATCAGCCGTGAAGTTCTCGACGCGCAAAGAATCCGGAATGTCTTTAATCATGTATTTCAGTTGATAATGTGTCAGTATTCCGTTGGTCTCTTTGGGAGGACACCATTTAACTGTTAGCGCACGATCACTGATATCTTCAAATTGTAGATTCTCCACTTCTTCAGGTACTATAAAAATCGTAATACATATATAAAGATAAATAATGTTTTGAATAATAAATTTATCTTTACTAAATGAAGAACCAGAAAATATACATCAGAAATTATCTTTTAATTAGAAAATACAGTATAATTAATTAATTCTTAACTAGCTATTGTAAATAAACATACCGTCTTCACAAGTACGAATTTCGACAGGCGAGCTCCTTTCACCGTCACCTGGATCGGTGAAGCAGAGCACCGTGATATTGTACAAAGTGTATTTTCTTAAACCTGTCATAATAGCGTCCTGCTCGGCGAGCGGATCGAATAAACTCGGCGGCACAGTCATCGATTTATATTCAGTCGCATCTGTAAAATTGTCGCCAATCCAGGCTTGCAATTTGTATCCCTGATTAATCCCATTAATTTTCTGAGGATTCGGTGGCTTCCACCAAATTTTTACCGCTGTTGAATTAATTGCTTTCGCTTTTACGTTTGTGGGAGGTGCTTCTGGGACTATAAAAAATTATTTATCTTTAATTGATTTATAACATTCATTAAAATAATATTTTAATTTCTAACGTGAATTTACCTCCTTCCTTGGTTTTTATTTGCAAGCCCTTTGAATATACACCCACGCCCTTCTCATTGTAAGCCGCTATTTGCACTTCATAATCTTTCCATGTGATTAAATCTGTAATGAGATAATTTCTTTGCGCTTCATTGGTGATATTTTGTATCGTCCATGGGCTATCATTATATCCGAAAAGCGTATATCTCAATATATATCCTAAGATATGGCCGTTTCGATATTCTTCTAGTGGAGGTTGCCATTGTGTTATTATTTCCGATGATGAACGTGCTGAGCCGACGAAGCCAATGGGCGGACCACTGGGCGCTAAAAATAAAGATAAAACGTTAAATGAAATGGAATGTCAACATAAACGTCAGAAATCGAGCTATAAATTTGCCTATATTTTAGTGAAAATTCAACAAAAACATATTATATTGTTATATTTTCTATTATAATCACTTGATTAATTTTCCTATTCACTTACGTTCTTGGGGTAGAACAATGATGTTGCTAGCTGCTGACGATGGACCTTCACCGACGCTGTTCTCGGCGCTAACACGAAATTGATAAGACGCCGCGGCTTTTAAATTATTCAACAATATCCATCGACTGGTCGCGGATACATTATCACGTTCAGTAATCCAGTTTAATATTGGGTCGTGTATTGGTCCTATTTGCAATATAACAATGAATTATATTTTTTATATTATAGAGAAGGAGATATAAAAAAATATAATATCAATTTACTTATATTCAATCAAAAATTTGTAGTATTTTTCATACATATATGGTAATAACATTCACAATTACGTTAAAAAATATATATATATATCAGAAAATATAAATATAACTAATATTTGACTTAATTATTACATTTATGGTAAATATTTACATTTAAATTTTTATATTTGAAGACTATACTCACCTAGATCGGATACCTCTCGTCTCTGGACTATAAATTTTTTCGTAGGACTATTGCCGTCGAAGCCGGGCACCCATGTGACGTTAATCGTGCGCGGCGAGATCCTCTCGACTCGCGTGGCCACGACGTTGATCGGTGGGAACGGCAATTCGATTACGCTCAGACGAGCAGATCGCGTTTCGTTGCCACCCGGCGACACCACGGAACATGTATACTCGCCCACGTCGGAAGCTCGAACGGTAACGATCTCGAGAGTGCCGTCTGATCGCATTTTCACTCTTTGACTTGCTTGCGTATTTATTACTCTAATAACGTACAAAACGTATCACTTTAAGATTTTCAAGCATCGGAAGAATCACTAGAATTTTAATGATTTTCCTGACATTATAAATCAATAATTTAATTAATCAATTTAATAAAAACTCAAGCTGCATAATGTAAGTAATTCTTAAATATCTTAAGTAGATCAGATTTTAATTAATTTGCTGTTTCGGAAAATAATACTAGATACATTAAAAGAAATTTATTAAATTTTTGATCTCAAAACTTGAAATTGATATTATTTGCATATAATATTTCTCTTTGTACGTACTGTCCATTGTGAAACCATGCCATATCGTATACGATGCTGGGATCGTTCGAAACTTTACACTGCAATTCAGCGGTACGCCCGAGAAGCACAGACGTATCAACAGGTGGATGGATAATTTGAGTCCGAACTGTAACAGATGCAGATTATATACGACAAACTGCACAATGCATTTGTCACCAAAGTTCGAGCAAAAAAAATCGATTTTTTAACCGACTTAAGAAAAATGATTCCATAATTCGCTCGATCTTTGTTTCTAAATACTTTGTCTTAATAATCACCCATAACGGTTAAGTATGCCGATCCATTGACAGAACCGGCTTCATTCGCGCGAATGCAAGTATATCTTCCCGCATCGTACGGTTTCACTGCTGCGATTAAAAGATCTCCGTTGTCCAAGACTTGTACTCTCCCAGCAATTTCCACAGACATTGTATCTGCAATTAAATGTAAACATTTGTCACATTTAATTGCATTTGTTGTAAACGCGCGTTTGGTAATAATATTAATTTTGTGTATCTTAATTTTTATAAAAATCATATACATATATATTAGGTGTTGGAATTAATTCGTAGCGTTTTACAAGTGATGGGAAGTACTTTCATTAATGTATTTTTTAATGCTCATGTGAAATAAATAACATTCTTTCATTAAAAAACGCTACGAATTAATTCCAACACCTAATATATAAATAAAACTATAGCAAGTGAATTAAAATTTTATAACATATTTATATTACATACATATACATAACATAAAAATATAAAAAAATATAAAGATAATTGCTTTGATTTAATTACCGTTGTAATACCAAGTGACATTTGGCTTAGGCGCTGCGATTGCATTGCAACTTAGAGTTGCATCTTTGCCATCTAATACTGTTAAATTCTGTGGTCCGTTTTCCATTATCGGTCCAGATGCTGTAAATTATAGACAGAAGTTTCGTCATTAACATCAAATCTCTATATCTAATGTTTTCTCACAACGTGCAAATGAAAAAAGGGGTGATCAATTGTCGCTTGCAATGTATATTAAACCATTTGTAATTCTCACCTTTTCTCTATTTCTTTATGCTGATTCCAAATACAAGCTTATGTTTTAAGCATAACACAAACACATATTTAATAGCAAAACTACGCAAACTTATAACTAAGTACATGATAAATGCCATATAAAATAAATCACTAAATGCTAAATACTAATAGCATTTATCGTGAGACATCCAGAAAAAAAAAATCTTATTGGAAATGTATCCCTAATATATATAGGGAAATAGGACGTGCGTGTCAGTATTACTTGCAATGTCGCAGACGCGTGCTAAGAATAATTACGTCAAAATCGACAAATCGTTTCGTTTAAAAATTTTTTTCTTTAAAAATCGTACGGCATTCATTCTATAATATAGAAAAACATTATAAACTATATACAATTAAAATTAATAATCATTAAATCACATAAGAAGGCACAATTAATCAATGTCTTGCGCTAAAATTCTATAAACATGGAGTAATAATAAATGTTCTAAAACGCTGATATTCAACATGGTGCTATTTGCCTTATCAGAGCTATGCAAAAATTTGCTAGAAGCAAAAATCGTGAAGTGAAATTTATACGCAGTCTTCAAGCATGTGCCGAAAATGATAATGGAAAAGAAAAGTGTGGAAATCTCGCTGCATTATTCTTACTGTTTGGATATTGAGAGAACATAAAACGGCGATCAGACTGGCGGACTCTGACTACATTGTAGCCAGCCGCCCAGCGGGCAACTCTGTTTCTCAATCTGCTTCCTAATCCTTTTTCTGTGCCGCACACAAAAAATATCATTTATATTAACTCTGCTTGCGACATTATTACGTGAAGTGTCCGCGAAAAAGGCGATTCCCTTTAAATAATATCTATATAATATCTATATCTGTGTATAATTTGCCAATGTTACTATTAATATAAGAAATTATTTATGTTGTAATTTATATTATACCGATCAATAAAAACAACAAATAGACAATATATAAATTTTAAATCCTTTGTATTCAAAACTGATTATATTAGCAAGCGTATTTATGATATTTCTCATCTTATAAAAATCTTATAAATAACAAAGATTGTATTTTAGTCGCATGTTTTGCGAACACTCTGTGTATGGATTGGGTAATAATTTTTCACTATTTTTAGAATTCCACGATATATTATGGAAACAATGAAAAATTACTCACTTTTCGCTTTTAACCAGGTATAACTAGATGATTCGCCGGCTTCATTGGACGCGAGACACTGAAACATTCCCGAATCATCCATACTTAATTTCTTAATTGTCAACGAGCCGTCTTCCTCCATTAAGTATCTGTAAAAACACGAGGACAATAATAGTAAAATGGTTAAAAATTTTTCGAATTCCGATTCCTTTTTAGACAAAACAAATTTAAATATTTTTTATAAAATATGTTTCAAATTTAATATACTTCACTTCACACAAATTATTCCTTCTATGAATTTTTTAATGTTACGTATATTTTTTAATTTATAATAAAAATATTTACTAGAATAGAAAAATTTATTTATGACTGATAAATTAATATATCTTTCATGTACAACAATTACAATTTTAAATTTACAGGAAAAAGTTTCTACTAATAGTTAAATAGTAATAATTAAAAGATTTTTCTTTTCCTCTATTTCTCTCTCTCTCTCTCTCTCTCTCATTCCAATGACTACAAAAGCAAATATTTGCCAGAGCGTACCTGGTTCCCAGTAAATGATCAACAGGCTCGGCATTACGGAACCAAGTGATTGTAGGAGGTGGCACACCGTTAGCGTCGCACGGTAACGTTACTGTGGACCCATAATCGCTCAGAGTTTCCCTTTTTAATTCCGTTATAAATGTTGGTTTTTCTAAGAAAACGTAATGGGAATTTTAGGAAAGATTTAGATCTGTTAAAATACTTAAAATTTTTAGTGTCGCGTATTCTTACTTTTCAAAATATAATTATATTACCTATTTACTGTATCGTTCATCGATAATGCTTACCATATACAACGATTTTAGCACTCGCATTTATAGTCGGATAACCACCACTCCGCAAATCTACGTGGCAAGAATAAATTCCTGTGTAAGTTATGTTGGCTGAGATCAATGCGAGCGTTCTGTTCCACGAATCATTAAAGCTATACGATATTCTAGAGTTCTCGATCGGAATGCCATCTTTCATCCATAAGGTCCTTAATTCATGAAGGGATCTGAAATTGATGTTAAAACTTCAATTTCAAATCTCTTGAACGAAAACATTGTGTCTGTGCATTGAGAAGAAAAATCATCATGCAGTGATGAATGATAAAAGAATGATAAACAAAGATTCGCAAATACCTGGCATTCGCGATGCAATATATGTGCGTGACATCTTGATCTTTGATTATCTGCGTATTCTGCGGCTTGACGATTATGGTAGGGGCTACTTCCGCATTTGGATCGCCGATGACTTGCAGTTTAAAAAACGGACTGCTCACCTCCGTACCCAATTGAGTGTTAATAGCCTTCGCTCTGTATCATCATAAACGTTAAAAAGATATAAGTTTAAACTTCGTCGGTTTAAATTTTGAAAGAATGAGTTCATATTTCAATTGAATCAATCCGCAACTGAAGCAAAGAATTAACTACTAGGACGAGCTATTATAAATAATTTAGTGTTGCACGCTGATTACATCAATTATACAAACCTGTAGGAGCCCTCGTCGTTTTCCGAAGCGTTTAGTATGATCAATGTGTGATCAGTCGTAGCGTACTTTATACCATACAGAAGAGTCCCGTCCGAGGAGAGCCACGTTACGGCAGGGGGAGGATGGCTCTCAATCGGGGGTAGTTCCAGAATTGCGGCGCTACCCGACTCGACGGTTACCACTTTCTCCGTGAGATCATCGAATGTACCCATATCTGAAGCGAATTAGAATGTCGATTCGTAATCCACGATGTGGACGTATTGATGTAGTATTCGTGGAAATACTTACAAGCTACGGCGAAGACGAGACGATCGCTGAATATGGATCCCACGTCGTTCGTTGCGACGCAATGATACACCCCAGCATCCTCGCGCCGCGTACTAAGAATACGATAATAAGGCTCGCCCGAGGTGACTTCGTTGTTGAGGGGCATCCCGTCTTTGAACCATTTGTACTTTGGTTGAGGATTGCCTAAAGACGATATGAAAGTTATTTGTTTATGCCTAAGTAATTTTTCTCAAGTCTTTAACTTGATCTTAATTTAAAAATTAATTAAAAAATAAAGAGGAAAGAAATTTAAAAATATATGAAAATTATCAAGAAAATGTACAAATCGTCTCTCTCATTAATAAATACATTTCCTGCGACTATAATTTTTTTGGACTGCGTAAAAATAATTACTTTAAATAATCTTTAATAGAAGAATAATTTAATATGAAGAAACTCATCAATGCAAAGTCACGGACGATGCTGCAGCTCGCGAGTTATCTAATACTATTAGTACAGGGTCATATGATTGAATTACACGGTGTTGGGCATTGGTACGGCTTCATCTAACCATCGTCTCATCCGCCTGTTATTCGATATTTTGCAGAACAATGAAACGCCACGCGGCGAACCTTATCTCCGATGCTGTTGTGGTCCTTACTTGTTTCTTTCGTCTATTTATATTTTATTTTTTCAATGCAATATTGATTGCATACTTAAGCACTAAAAACCCAAGAATTTCTGACAATTCATTGCCAGAATTAACGAGAAAATAATTCAAACCATTAACAAATTGATGAACAAAATTGAAATTACAATAGATTTTTACTTTTAAAAGCACATTTTTATGAAAGAAACAATACTTAAAATCTCCAAAGATCTCGATACTTAAAGTTATCCTAGCATTGAATTGAAACAACAACAATCTAGTTAAAAAGAAATTTTTTTTGTTCAGAATTTTAAAAATTCAAAATTTTTAACAAGTGTAAATAGAAATGCGCAATTTCCAGGTATATTTTCTAGATAAAAATCGTTATTAAAATTCATTACCGCCAAGAACTTCTTTAAGAACTTTCTCTCTCTCTCTCTCTCTCTCTCTCTCTGTGTGTGTGTGTGTTTCTTATATTAATAAATTTTCAGATTAAGTGTTACAATCATGATTCTTACCTCTCGCTTGGCATTGTAGAAACTTCGTGCGATTTTCGCTAAGTATATTGCTACTACTGGACGGTTGATTGATGAAACGTGGCTCCTGAAGTGGTTCTGCAAACAGAAATGTTTTTTCTTCTTCAGATCGATCTCGTGGTTTAACAGAAGCCTTACAACATCGCGCAGATTGTAGATTAGTTTTGAATTGTTTGCATTTCGCATAGGTTACGGATTCGCAGCAAATTTGCAATTCATCATGGATAATATCATGAATAAATAATAATAATTTTATTGCGTATATATAAAAAATAATGATCTATAAATAATTCGAATAATTATAAAGAGCATAAATAAAACATGATATACCAAAGATACAAAGCAGTCGTCATGATGTCTACTTATAGTCAAAATAAGACAATCAGGGAGCAAGGAGAATAAGATTATAATACAAAAACACGATAAATAGATTGTAGAATAAATAAAACAAAGAAATAAATCGTAGAATAATGTGATTTTATAGATAGTCTTATATATCAGTAAAGATTGAGATTGAATTTAATCTATGAGACAAAAGAAAACCATCAAGTTTAATGAACTATGCTTCGATTGGTCAAATTCAATCTTAGATTCAATCTCAATCTCTAGTCTGATCTAATATCAATAACAGAACCTAAGAAATATCAATATAACATTGGTTGATTTTATACAAAATAAAACTTGACAAAAAAAATGACGGAGTGGAAAGAAGAAAATAGATAAGAACCCAAACAACACAAAGTATAAAATTATTACATGAGTCTTTTAGACACAAAAAACGTCTTATGACCTAATTTTAGACACTTTTTGTTGTCCGGGAAAAACCTAACATTAGAAAGTAATGAGTTAACATATTTAATTCGTAAGAAGACGACGCGACAGCGCGATTTAATTTTACAATTTTGATTTTTGGAAATATACGGCAAATTCGACCGTATTTAATCTCATGTGATTACAAGTGAATTCCATCAGTATGACTGACCGACAGCCTGAGTCATCGAGAGTGTATAAGAGAGATGTAATAATTTATAGCGCTCCAGAAAGGCCGACTGAGGCCGACGAACGAGAGGAAAGAATGCGAGCGAACGGCTGCATTCGGATGCCGAGGTGCCGAGTCACATGCAATGCACGTAAAGCCGACACGTGCACCCGCCCGTATCCACCGGACGTTCCACGCTCTGGTGATCTTGACACACGGGTATACACCGGTGTGTCGCAACCTCTCCTCGTAGAGCCACAGTTTCGTCGTGAACAAAAAGAGGTGAGTTAACAATTTGAATTTCGAACGTTCTTCGATTTTCAAGAAGCAAAAATCTACATTTTTTTCCAAAGAATTTTTTCTAACTTCTGAAAGTAAAAATCTCTGAAGATATTTATATTGTGTTGTATTTAAAATAGATGCCCTTTTTTTCTACTGATAGAGAGAAGCTTTGAAGAAAGTACAGTTCTTGATTTTTAAGATGCAAAACTATACACAGAAAAATATCATTCTATCTAGATATCTTTAACAAAGAATATCTTCTTCATAATAATCTTAAAGTATATGTGATACTTATTTCAAATAAAAAAAAACTCATTATTATTTACTGAAAACACAAGAATTAATTTTCTTTTAAAAAATATTATAAAATTGAATTGAAAAATTGAGCGATTTTATATAAACAAAATTTTAATCCTGGGATATGCCAAACAGAAGTGATTTCTGCTAATTTAAAGTGTGAATTTATGATTAATGTGAAGCATCCTCTAGAACAAATTCCTACGAATGTATAAACAAAACAATTTACGGATCGTGAGTGACGAGTGGTAGTTCAGTTTCCCGAACATCATTGTATCATTCAACCGGCAATTTATTCCGACCTAATACACTGCGTGATTCACGGATTCGCGTTCCAATCGCACACACACCATACAATCAGTCATGCTGTATTATTGGCGGATTCTAAGGAACGGACGATCGTGTGATCGCGTCGCACCTGGGCCGCCATAAATATCGATTCAGTCCGATAAGCACCATCGATGATAGGTACTTATACATGATATGCTATCGCTTCCACATATATCGATATATTTCGTAATTGTTTCAATTTTATCTATACGAAGATAATTTTTAGACGACTGACTAAAATGAAGTTTACTGAAGTCCAGACAGCACAGAATATTTATGATAAATATTTAATACATATTTTCTATAAAGCTTTATTCAAAATATCATTAAAAGCTAGACTAAATATCTAATATAATATTTATGATAAATATAAATAAATATTTCTGATAAGTACTTTTTATTTGAATTATAATGTCTTATTAAGTATTTCCATAACATTTATTCAAGATTTGCAATAAATATTTCATAATAAATGTTTATGATCTGTGCAATCTAAAACTACGAAAATATTTACAAAATATTTAAAATAAGTCTTATAAATATTTATAAATATTTTGTAAATATTTTATAAATATTGAGCCTGGGAAACAGCATTTTGTGAATACAAATTGATGACGAAATTGCAATATAATTAATTTCAGTTTAAATTTACCTAGACTAGAAATTGAGATTGAATTTAATCAATCAAGAGGAAAATCAATCAATTGAGTACGAGAAGTGCTTATAGGTCAAAGTCAGATGTTGGAAAAATACATCTATATGTATTTAAATAAATTTTATCTCAGAAATATGAAAAAAATCAATATCAAGCTTAGTGAATTTTGCTTTGATTAGTCATCTCAATCTCCATCTTTAGTTTAAGATATAGATATTATTAGATTTTACTTTAACGGAAGCTTAATGCAAATCTTAATTATCTGAAAACTTAAGTATATGTAATGTTAACGATTAAAGTTACAAAAAAAACATATGTTTATCCTTTAGAATTTTCTAAAATTACAATTTTATAAGTGACGTAATATATCTACATCGTTTCTTTTGAAATTTTTGCCGAGAGAGAGAAAACTTCACTCTGAATTATCTAAAATATAAAAATACAAAAGAGCACATAGTTTTGTATTTCTCTATGTTATCTCTATGTTATCAGTATTGGACTTTACGGGTCTCTTGGACGAATTTTTCATATCAGATTGACAATGATTCATCTTCATGAAGATTTTTAAGGAAAAATTCATATTATTCAATATACTGGTTCATTTTATTTAATGCACTGAAAAAAAAATTTATTAAATTTTAATAAATATTTGTTTAAATAATACTAATTAAACATTTACTTACAGTAAATAGATATTAACTCAATAAAAAAATAATACTTAAATTAGTAGTTCCTATACAAAATAAGTATATGTTTATATTTACTTATTATTAAATATTTAGTTTGTATATATTTAAACAAATATTTATTAAAATTTAGTACAATTTTTTTCAGCGTATTGTCAGCGTTTCAAACACCTCGCGTATGCGAAGATTCAGTTTTCGGATCTTATCTCCTTATCATATGTCTCGCTCGACGTCTGAAGTAGCATCGTGCTATAATTCTACTTCATAGAATTATAAATGCAAAATTAGTAAAACACACATGTAAGAAGATGTGTTAAACATCTAAGAATAAACTCCACGTTTTGTGCTTTTTTTTTAGAAGCATAATCGCCGTTATTTATTTCAAGCTCATTTTTCGCTTTATTTCCCTTATTTCGAAATAAAGGATGGCATGTTCAAACCAGAACGCGAAAAATTCCTCAAATGTACGTGCATGGGATCAAATAAATTACGCAATTTTTTTGTTAACGTACCGCTAAATGCGGCGGAGATAAGATAGGTGAATGCGATAAGTGTTAATGCGAAGAACGGTACACTCGATTCTAAACACTCGTTTGCGGGTGACTAATTACTGCAGAGGTAAGCTCCTGGAGCATTAACAGGTGTAGTTGCTGCAGCACGTGCTCGGTACTTGCAATCTAAGTTCTGTTGGATTTTAAACTCTGCGTGTGTCGGACAATTGCTCCACCCTGTGTGTGTGTGTGTGTGTGAAAATACTGTGTTTTATGATATTATAAAATTCTTATCTACACTATAAATTTTTCGTAACATTTAATTATTAAATTAATTTTATAAAAACTAATAATTTCAATAAAATTTTATTATCTGTAATTTAAATAAATTAATCATTTAATACAACACTTTTTATATAACAATTATATAATATAGAAGTTATTCTGCAGATAAAAATTAGAATCTCTTTCCAAACAATGGAATAAACGGCAAATTGCAAAATAAATAACATTAATTGCGTTTACTTTCAATATACTTGCAAAATCGACAATTAACTTCAGCTAAAATGTAATCGATTCAGATTCTCTCGAGCGAAGGAAAAATATGTGTTACTTAACACTTTTAAAAACCACTTGTTCCAGATCTTTTAGATAGTCTTGCAGCCAACGTGCAAAGTTCGTGGAAGATGCAAATCATGGGCTAATTAGAAGTACTTTCGTGGAATTTTAATAAGAAGGCAATTTTAATGGGAGCATCTCTGCGGGAAACGATGTATAATCGCTTTCTAAATGAGATTCATGAAAAGTTGAGTTTCTGCCAAATCGATGAAATTACAATCACAATTGCATTTGGGAAGAAAAATGAATGTCGATTTCGATGCAGAGATAAAAAATGCATCGTAACGTTTTTTTTTCTTTTTATTTTCTAAACTTTAATAGAGATGGTTAGTATTTTACCTTTTCTTTTACTTTTCTCTACTTTTGTAAAGAACCTCTTAAAATATATCAGAATTTATTTGTATTAATTAATTCTTTATTTATAAATGATAATCAAAGTGAATGTATTCTTGCAAATTTAGTCTTTTATAATAATTGCTTCATTCATATATTGAGTAACTCTATATAAAATATTACGAGATAAAAAAGATATAATTAAGATATAATTAAAAAAAAATCATACTTAAAAAATTATGTTTCTATATTCAAACAGGACGCAATAATAAGATAAGCGTCTTCAAGTTCGAAACTTTTGTGCGAAATGCCTTTTAGGCAGGATTATTTCCGTGTTAAATATTTCATGAATATCTAACATTGGCTATCTAGAGCATCGGAAATGAAACGTGTGCTCTTATAGAAGT